GACTGTTACTCACTATGCCTCACACTGTACATGGCTAAAAATTTTGCAGAAAATCCTAAGCAGAATGGTAATATGGAAATACAGGTTGCAGGAACATGATAAGAACTGAATGAGCACAACCAATCCAGAAAAATTGTATATATGATGAAGACTGCGTATGTATCAGTCAGCCACTGCTGTTTAATACAACCTCAGTGCTTAAAATTATAAGCAGTTGTTATCGTTCATGAATTTACAAGCCAGACAGACAGCTCTTGTCTTGGCTGGACTCTTGCATGTTTGAGGGTTGGCTAGCTGTAAACTTTTTAAAAATAACTCAGGGTTTGGAATGTGAGCACTTCTCTATATGCTCTCTCTCAGTCTAATGGACTAATCCAAGCTTGTTGAGAGAGAGCAGAAGAATGTACACACACCACTTGAGATTATCACTTTCTCTGCTCAAGAAGGTGTGATTGGAAATAAAAGTAGAACACAGAGAAGAAAAAAAATAGGGAAAAATAAGGTCTTGTAAGTGTAAATACTGAGTCTGTCTATGTGAACACATGTTTACATTTTGTCAAGTTTTCTAATAAGTAGAAATAGTGTTTTCTGAAATCAGAGCATTCTGGATGGTCTAGTAGTTGAAGTATTTTCTGTTTCTAAACTCAAATTTATATTCTCACCCCTTTACTCATTTTATACAGTGAAGTCACACTCTATTGTATCTCACTTTATGTATTGATATTGCAGCATGCCATGTGAGGTTTAATTGGATAATAAAGCTCTTTGAAATTCTCCCCAAGTAAAATAATCTTTTAAAATAATTTTTAAATTTAAAGAGAGAAAAAATACTCAAATATTCTTAAATAATTTCTTAATTATGGGAATCAGCTTGCTAAGTTTCATAAGCATTTCTGTTGAGATGTTGATTAGGATTAAGTTGAATTCTAATGGTGGTGGGGGACTGACATTTTCCCAATATTTAGCCATTTGTTTCAAGAACATAACAAGCTTTCCTACTTATGCTAAAGGTCATTAATGCCTTTTAGCAATTTTATATTTATTTTATATAGTTTTGCACATTTCATTTAGATGTGTTCTTATTCCATATATTTTGAGGCTATTGTGCATTGGATCCTTTATTTTTTAATTTTTTAATTTTTTAATATTTATTTTTTAGCTATTGGCAGACACAACATCTTTGTTTGTATGTGGTACTGAGGATCGAACCCAGGCTGCACGCATGCCAGGCGAGCACGCTACCTCTTGAGCCACATCACCAGCCCAGATCCTTTAGAATGTAATGTTACATTTTTATTTGTTTTAAATCAGCTATTAATGGTTGCATTTGTTCTTTCAATGTTTTGAACTGCTTTATACAACATTTTTTTCAGTGTATTTTTCAGAGATGAAACTCTTTGTGATAGTTACTTTGAATTGTCAACTTGATTGGATTAAGAGATGCCTATGATTAAGAAGTTTATGTGTGTCAATGAGGATGTATCTAAGAATGATTGGCATGTGGAATAGCCAAGTGAAATGGAGACCCTCCCTAAGTGTGGGCAGCACCCTCCAATAAGATGATGGCTTGGTTGGAATAAAAGTTGGGAGAACAAGGAAGCATCAGCAGATGCAAGCTTGATTCTTCTCGACGGGTTCTTGATTGCTGTTGTGTTCTTGATTGCTGCTGTGACTGTCTGAGGATTTTGGACTCTGGCTTCTCACTCTTCCAAAGCAGACTCTGTCAGTGATTCTCCAGAAGCCTTGAGTCTTGGACTAGAATAGCACTGTAGATCCCTCTTGTTCTGGGGCTTCAGTCTCTTGGACTGTGAAGTGACTGGTTCTTCCAGCTCTCCAGCCTGCAGACGGCCACTGTGGACTATCCAGCTTCTAATTGCATAAGCCAACCTGATAAATCCCCTATTGATTCTGTTCCTCTAGAGACCTTAATACACCTTTTTTCTGTTCACATAACAACACTTTTTTATATGACTTGTTTCTCACTCATATATTGTTGCATTTGCTATACCTAGGATACAGGACATTTTTGTTATTTGTTTACTTTGATGGTAATGCTTTTGTTGTTGTTTTGGTTTTTGGAGAGTTTTGTTTTTGTACTGGGAATTGAACCCATTGGTGTTTGACTACTGAGCTTTGTCCCTGTCCTTTTTTTATTTTTTTATTTTAAAACAGTCTCACTAAGATGCTAAGGGTCTCCCTAAATTGCTGAAGCTGACCTTGAACTTGTGTTCCTCCTGCCTCTGCCTCCCCAGTGCTGAGATTACAAGTGTGGGAAATGTGTTTAATGTTTCTTTATTAAGTATCATGTATAAGTATTCTATTGATGTAGAATTTGTTGTTGTTGTCATTGTTACTAAGGAAATACATTCTATCATACTTACTCAAATTTGCATTAGAAATGAGTATTGAATTTCTAACTATTCTGTCATTTTTATATGACCATGAATATTCTCTTCAAGTGGTAATACAGTTGACTGTCTTAATTAACTTTTACTTATTGAAATACAGAAAAGAACAATAAATAACTGTAACAAATACCCATTAACTATATCATCAAAAAATGTTAGTATGTAGAGCCAGGGTTGTGGCTCAGCATGCATGGGGCACTAGGTTTGTTCCTTGGCCCACCATATAAAAAGAAAAACAAATATAATAAAGATATTGTGTCCATCTACAACTATGAGAAAAAATATTTTAAAAATGTTAGCATATAACATATATAACACTTTTTCCAGCAGCTCCTTCCAACCTTATGCTCTCTATGTAAATCATATAATTTATTCTAATTTATTA